CTGTGTTGACCAGTTGGATGGAAGTATTTCGGATTGCATGTGAAAACCCCACACTGTACCCCAGAAGTGCATTAATGTATAGTTACCATTCGATAAAAAAGAAAAAGAAAAAGAAAAAAATACAAAAAAAAAAAAGAAATTCTAATCACCAATTTGACAGCATGTAAGAGTCCTCATGAATGGGATTATTGCCCTTATAAAAAAGACAACTTCAGGGGCGGCGCCTGTGGCTCAGTGAGTAGGGCACTGGCCCCATATACTCAGGATGGTGGGTTCAAACCCAGCCCCGGCCAAACTGCAACAACAAAAAAAATAGCCGGGCATTGTGGCGGGTGCCTGTAGTCCCAGCTACTCAGGAGGCTGAGGCAAGAGAATCACCTAAGCCCAGGAGGTGGAGGTTGCTATGAGCTGAGAAGTCATGGCACTCTACCGAGGGTGACAGAACAAGACTCTGTCTCTAAAAAAAGACGACTTCAGAGAGCTCCTCACCCCTTCTGGCACGCGAAGTCACTGCAAGAAGGTAGTCATTTATGAACCAGCATTGGGCTCTGTTCGCACCCTGAATCCGCCATACTTTGATCTTGGACTTTCTGGCCTCCAGAACTGTGAGAAGTGTTGTTGCTTCTAAGCCCCCTGGTCTGTGGTATTCTGTCCCAGCAGGCCAGATGGACAAGACAGAAACTGGTAATGGGGGGCGGGGGAGGCTACTTCAACACGTGGAAGTGGCTTTGGAACGGGGTGATGGGTAAAGACTGGAGGAGTTCTAAGGTACAGACCAGAGAAGGTCTACATTATCTACATTATATGAACAGTTAAGGGCAATTCTCTATTGTGAGAGCCTAGAGAGAAAAGCATAGAGTCATAGACAAAGTTTTGGTTGACTCAGAGAATACTTCAGTACGCCTGAGCAGAATCCTGGTAGGAATACCGGGGGTAAAGATCAGTCTGACGAGGTCTCAGATGCCAATGAGGGCCGTATTATTGAAAAATGGAGAACAGGTTGTCCTTGTTATAAAGTGGCAAAGACCTTGGCTGAATTGTGTTCATGCTCTAGGGATTTGTGGATGAAAGACTTGTGAGCAATGAAACTGAATATGTAACTGAAGCTATTTCTAAGCGAAGTGTTGAAGGTACAGCTTGGCTCCTCCTGACTGCTTATAATAAAATGTGAGAAAAGGGAGAAATGATTTAAAGATGGGATTGTTAAGCAAAAAAGAACCTAAAGGATTTGGAAAATTCTCAGGCTATCCATATTGCAAAAACTGAGAACACTAAGAATGTGGCCAAGTGACTTTTTGATAAGAATGGCAGTATGGAGCAGCCCTCTCCACAGAAACCAGAAGTCATTCCCTAAGACAAAATAGCAGAATGACCCTTAAATTGACCCAGACATCATCAGAGCTGCCGCTCCAATTACAGATCCAGAGTACAAGGGCAGAGGTGGGAGGGACCACTGGCAGCTGTGGGGCCTCAGCCCTGCTGCGTGGCCCAGGCTCCACTCTCTGGCCTTCAGCATCACATTCCCTGACCTCTGCAGGTGCCGCTCCAGGAGGCCCCAGTGCACACAGGACACAGCGGCCACTCCTCCAGAGGACACAGGCAGCAATCTTTTGAGGCAACCTTGCCATCTAGTCTCTGCCAGAATGCAGAAGGACTGGGGGACACAGGTGCCTCCACCGAGGTTTCAAACGACAGAGGCAGCCAGAGCCAGGGGTGCATGACCCCAGCCAGGGAGAACCATGCACAGGGGAGGAGGTGTGGTAGGAAAGTCACTGGGGGGCTGAGCCATCGGGGTGACACTGACACCCCAGGGGTCCTGGAAGGAACAGCATCACGTCAAAGGGGACATTCCCTAGTCGTAAAGTCTAATGGAATTTTCACCATCAGGTTTTTACTTACCTGGGATCTCTCTTCTTTCCCATTTCTTCCTTTTGGCATGGGAATGTCTATACCTTGCCTGGTCCCACCATTACTACATTTTGAAAAGCATATTAACTTGTTCGGCTTCATTAAAATTTGCCTAAGGATCCACGAATCTTGAGCTTCATCCGTATCTGGTTCAGATAATATGCAGACGAGACCTTGAATTTTTAGATTTCAGAGTTGACACTGAAATAAGTTGAGTTTAAAAAAAAGACTTCTGAGGCCGTTTGGATGTAACGAATATATTTTGCATGTTGAGAAGGACATGAATTTGGGGAGATTAGGAGCAGAACGCTACAGACTGAATGTTCATATTCCCCAAAATTCATATGTTGAAATCTCAACCTCCAAAGTGATGGGAGGTGGATAGGTGATAAGGGTGGACAGGTGATAAGACACTCATAAATAATATTATGCATCTGTTAGAGACCCCAGAGAGCTTCCTCACCCACTCTGCCACGTGAGGACACAGGAAGATGAGGACCATATAAGAGACAGAAAGAAGCAGGCCCTGGACTTGAAATCTGCTGGCACCGTGTTCTAGGACTTCCCAGCCTCCAGAACCATGAGATTATTTCATAACTCTGTTGTGTGCAAGCCACCCAGTCGATGGTATTCTTTTATAATAGCCTGAACAGACGAAGATAACCAAACTCTCCTAATGAATTGTGTTCTCTAGCAGGAATTATTGTCCGACCACTGCCTATGCTTCATGCACACTATTCAGTATGTATAACAGACAATGTGAGGCTGAAGGGATGAGGCTCATTTGTGCTTGTGTCTTTTATTTCTGAGTCGTACACAGAACACTCTACACGTTCACTCCACTAACAGTCATAACCATGACCCCAGCCGATATTCTAGTTACTAGAATCTAGTCCTTAACAGCAATAAATAAGCCAGCACTCAAGTTCTGAAATATTATATCCTTTATTCTGCATGACCAAAGGTCAAACTGAATCCATTTTTTGGTGAAGAAGTAATGACTATTGACTGTCATTTATAACCATTTTCTCAAACATTCCTGAAAAAGTCTGTCTGTCTTGTCATATGTTTTGACAATTAGTCCTTAAGAACACTCCCAGTAAAATGTGCTTAGCAAACACTGCTACCTTGTACAGACCCCTCCACAGCCAGGATTCCTCCCTCACGACCTCCCTGTAAGGTAGGTCACTTTCTTAATTTCACAAACAAAGACAGTGACGTAAAGAGACTAACACAGATGAAACAGCCCAGGGAGCCTTGCGTGGAATTCAAACAGCGTTGCTCTCAGTTTGCAGGTAAAATCCCGCTATGATGAGGACAGACTTCTCACTCAAGACCAGCAGTTGTCAGAGACAAGAGGTCACCACCTTCTTATTAAAAGCCTTCTTCTAGAAGCAGTAAAGGGTTATCATAAAGTCTCAAACCTGTGGATATGGAAAGCGTCCCAAAGAACCCATAACTTCTTTTGTTTGAAATTCACCCCATTTTCAATCTCATGGAATTCCCTCTTCTCCATCTTTCTCTCCTACAAATGTTCATCCTGTGTTAAATTATCAGGGCTTCCGCTACATTTTTTCAGGGATACATGGCTTAGAAAAGTTCAGAGAAGATTTATGAACCCTTGAGGAAGAATTAGCAAGGGATAAGAATGAGTGAAATGCTGAGGCATCTAGGCAGCACAGAGGACTGAACATTTGCGTAAGGCATGTATGGAAGAGAACAGAAGGACCCCAGAACGTGATGCCACAGGCGTAAATCACCCTGAGAGACGCCTGAGGGCTTTCTTCTAAGGGCTCAAAAAAAAAAAAAAAAACACAACCCATTTAATACACAATTTAAGATCTGTCCTTTCACAATCCCCCTCTCCAGCCCTTACTTACTTTTTTGACAACCTCAAACAGATTGGCAGAGATAAATTTGCCTCCAACCCCACTCCTAACCACTAAGTACTCCTTCTCCAAAGAGTATAGAGAATAGTGTTTCTAAAATAGTTTGTTGCTGTCTTAGTAAAAAACAGCTACAGATTAAGCTTCTGAATATTGATTAACAATTAAAGCATGTTACACAGGAAAAAAAGTTTTTTTCAAAGACCACCCCAATCATTTCCTTAAAGGCAAAAATTAAAAGTCCAGGCAGGTTAAGAGATTTTTCCAAGATCATACAGTAGAACTACATTAAGTAAATATAATAAAACCTCCATGGCGACCGCGACCACCTCCCTACACTGACCCCTCCTTAAGTTGACCTAGTTTTCACAGACCAGACACGCACCACATGCTGGCTGGCACAGCCAGAGAGCTACATCAGGAGAACACTGCCCACAGCCAGGCACTGGCCTGCAGTAACAGAAGAGGAGCTGGTGCTGAGGGGGCACCCTAAGTTCCCCTGACACCCCGTCACAGACGTGAACATCAGAGACCCCTCCTGCCCGCTGGGTGCAGGACTTTCCATGATAAAGAATACGGAAACAATGACAGCTGGGGGCGGGGGGGGGGGCAACAGGCTTTCTACCACCTAGAAGCCTCTCCACTTTCACACGGAAAGAAAACGTGATCCGGTGTTTTTCCCACTCTGTGTGTGTGGAGAGCTCCAGCAGATGCCGCACACAAGACAGCTGAACTTTCTCTGTGGCAGGATCAGAAATGACAGGAAACGCTCACAAATGCAATGCCCAGGGCCACCCACCGGGACAGGCTGCGTGCACATGGTCAGCACCCACACTGTAGGAGCCCCTGGGGCATTCCACCTCCACTCTGGCATGGATCAAAACACACAGGCTGTCCAGCCTGGATCACACACTTGTCATTATTCTTCTCAGCATCGTTAAGGGACAACGGGTGACATCTCACCGATCCAAGCACACAAGGAGGGGCCATGGCTTTATAAGACAGTCCACTTCGAAGGGAAAATGGGAGGCCACGGGGCAAGGTTTGAATAAGGAACGCTAAAGGAAGAAGAAGGTAGACACGCATATGTTGTTTCAACTTGACGAGGAGATGGCAGATAAACTTGAAACAACTTTTATTACTCACTCACATCCCTGGAAACCAACAGATGGGATCTCTCATTGCCAAGTTCTAATGCATTTCACGTTTGTGCTCAGCATCAGGACACTGGGCTTGCCAAAGACCAATCTGCTGTTGAGAGTGAAGTGAGGACCAGGGAACCTCGGCCAGATCCTCTGCCTCCTGTGTGTGAGCAAAGTGCTCGCTCTAAACCAGGTGAAGTTCCCCACAAGGCAGCAAGCGTGTGAGTCCAGACACGTAAACAGAAGATAACCAGAGCCCGTAAGAAATATTTCCTTTTTTAGTATAAAAAATAGAGAGGTGACCCCTAAGGGTAATTCATCATCTGTTCTTTGATAGGGCTCGGGGTGAGTTCTGCAGCAATCAATTCTTATCCTAATGGATAGTCAACAGAATAGCTGGTATGTCTGAATATTAAGGCAACCCAGAAAATAAACCTCAAGAAGACTCTAGTCTATGTCACTCTGATACTTTCTTGAAATCAGTCCTTGAATACTAGGGCCCAAAACTCCTGAGCTGAGAAATTTTGATTCCTATCCACCAGCCTCCTCAGTGCCCGGGCTTCTTTCTTGGATTGTTCAAAGCTTGGTATCCACATCTCCCGCAAAGAGCCCCCGCGTGGGGCCCGGGGTGCTGAGAAAGGGAACACTGTCGGCTCCGGGCAGCTCAGATGGGTGGCCTCCGCCTTCCACCTTTTGGGTGGTAAGCCCTGCATTAAGAGAAAGGAGAAATGAATTGCAAGTATGTGACAAGGAGACACAATTCGCACATTCCCATCTCAGTCTTAGAACACAACATGTACCTGAAAGCAAGTGTCCTTACTCCATAGAGTGGAAGGGGAAAGAGAGTATCTCATATTTATTGAGAATATTCCATTCTCTAGACTCTCTGCCAGATACTGCCCAATCTGCCTCATTGGGCGCCTATAGCTCAGCGGCTAGGGTGCCAGCCAGATACACTGGAGCTGGCAGGGTCGAATCCGGCCCGGGTCTGCCAAACAACAATGACAATAAGAAAAAAAAAATAGCTGGGTGTTATGGTGGGTGCCTATAGTCCCAGCTACTTGGGAGGCTGAGGCAAGAGAATAGCTTAAGCCCAAGAGTTTGAGGTTGCTGTGAGCTGTGACACCACAGCACTCTACAAGGGCGACATAGTGTGACTCTGTCTCAAAAAAGAAAAAAAAAGAATTCTTACAGCAAGCATATTAAATAGCCACTACCATCCCATTTCACAGAGGTAGAAACTTAAGGAATAAAAAAAGTCACATAAATTGCCCCACACAGTACACCTAAGACTAAGCCCTGTTTTTTTGGTTTTCTTCCTGTTCTCAAGATTTCCTTTCCCTTCTGCTATTGGCTTGATTTGTTTGTTTACTCCTTTTCCCTTCTATCCCTTTACCACCACTCCCCTGCCATACACAAACATTTTAATGCCTTTTTTTTTTTGTCTTCTGCAGTTTTCGGCCGGGGCCGGGTTTGAACCGGCCACCTCCGGTATATGGGGCTAGCGCCCTACTCCTTTGAGCCATAGGCGCCGCCCTGTTTTAATGTATTTAATACAGCCCTTTGTATTTACCTGTAAGTGTACTTAAACACTTTTTATAAAATGCGTCCTCATTTTCTGGGTGTTTGTTTTTAATTAACCTGTCCTTTATTATTTCACATATCTGGTTCTGCTAGTTTTTCACCAAGCGTTATTCTTGTAGCTATGCTGTCACTAGTTACAACTAAGCCCTTTGTTTTCAAAGTATTTCCACCATACTCAACTATGCCTAATACTAAGATGTTTTTATCAAAAAACAGGAACACCCAACATTTGCATGGGACCATCCAGCTTCAAAATGCTGCTGGGACCTTGGTCCATGTTGAGCCTGGTGTGTCTCCATGGTGGTCTCGGTGTATTCCCAGGGTCCCCTAAGGAGTTGCCCTGACTCCACCCGCGATCCACTGCAGACGCACTCAGCCGCTCTTCTCATTCCAAGATAAAGTCCAAGACCTTAAACTGGCCTACAAGTTCAGGGAACATGATTAAATACAGCCTGGTGGCCTGAATTGGATGCTGGAACAGACAAAGGATGTTGGTGACATACAGTGAAATATGACGATGGCCTGTAATTTAGTTAGTGGCTGATAGGAATGTCTCAGTGTTGACAAATGTGCACAGTTATGTAACACACGAGTGTCAGCAGAAGCCAGGTGAAGAGCACACGGAACTCCGAGCTATCTCTGCAACTCTTCTGAAAACTCACGAATAAAAGTTATTTTACAAGGCGATGCAAAACCTTCAAAATTTTGAGGAAACCAGCTACTTTACTACTAATGACTCAGACTCAGCGAAATTTCTGCTTACATGTTAGAGTAGAATGAAGGCATTTTCATGCATTCTCCCAGGCCCCTCTTCTAGGGTAGCTATGATCAGCCAAAAACAAGAGAATAAACTGAGAAAATAGAGGGTAAAGCATATACAAAATAGGTATCAACACAATAAAAAAAGAGGAAAAAAAATTTCCAAAATGCTAGAGAAAGTGGATCTCAGGCTGCCGTTCCACTCTAAGGTCGAGGACAACTGGCCACACGGGGTCAGTCAGAAGGTTCTGGGAGAGATGCCGTCTATATCATGAGACAAACTGGATTCCTGGCACATCTGAATGTCTTCAGAGGAGATTTAAACAATCAACAAAGATTGAATTAGTGACAAGTGCAAAGAAGAACAATCAAATAAGAAGACAATTATTAACTAGAAAAAAACAAACGGCTTTACAGGTCAGGCTAAAACATAGCATACTACACAGTTCAACAGTCACACAGCCATAGCCACATAAACACTGCATACCAAAAAATAGTGCATAAACATGTTATTTAGAAACATCAATTAAATACCGAGAGAATTAAGTAATCACCTAAATATCATGATTCCTTCCGGGAAGGAGGGGAAAGAGAGAAGACGTGAAAGATGCCATTTTGATTTTTTTTAATCTCTGTGCATGTATGTAATTTTCTAAAAATGAAAAAAATTAATGGGAAGATAGGAACATACGTTTGAGTGTATAGTGATGGGAATCTTCATCCATCCCAAATCTAGAAAGCAGAGTAGAAAAACCAATTTGGAAACACAGAAAAGTGGGTGCTGCCTGTAGTTGAACCCACATAGTCTCTTTATTCTCTTTTCCTTGAAACACCCTCAGGCAACACATGAGCAGACACTAGGGGGGTGTGGGGTGAAGAAGAGGTGACTCTGAGCATAAAGTCTGTCTCCAAGCACCTGAAGGGACTGTGTTCATTAACTTGTTTGGGAGGGTATGAAAGATACAGCTTCCCCAATCCTCCCTTCTCTCAGGACCCCCTGGCCTATATGATCGTGGAGCTTGGCTTCCAAGGCCCTGGAAGATGAGCAGGGAATCTTTATCAAGTCCTGAGGACCAGGATGCAAATCCAAATAGCCAACCATCAGGAAATGCTAATACTTAGAATCTGGGAAGTCTAACTAACCCGTACAAAGGACGGGGAGACTCGAAATGAGGCTACTATAGTCAGAGTTCATGGTTGAGTAGAGACCGTATTTGTAGCAAGATCAGAGCAAAACCACGTGAAGAAGACCCAGGGTGATGACCACAGAACAACTCTTAAGAAGCCACTGCCCACTTTTATTGGCTGGTAGGTGACAGATGCCAGGCTGTATCCCTCCGATCTTTAGAATCAGAAGCAGGTTCTTAAGAATTAGCTACAGAAGGGGAAGTTTACATTCACCATAAAGAAATGTATACTGGTTCGGCGCCTGTGGCTCAAGTGGCTAAGGCGCCAGCCACATATACCTAAGGTGGTGGATTCGAATCCAGCCTGGGCCTGCCAAACAATGATGCCTGCAACCAAAAAATGGCCGGGCGTTGTGGCAGGCACCTGTGGTCCCAGCTACTTGGGAGGCTGAGGCAGGAGACTCGCTTGAGCCCAGGAGTTGGAAGTTGCTGTGATCTGTGATGCCACAGCACTCTGCCTAGGGGGACAGCTTGAGGCTCTGTCTCAAAAAAAAAAAAAAAAGAAATGTATACCTACTGTGTATTCTCCACATATGTGTGTGTGCATACAAAAGATAAAAACAGGCTACCTTAAAAAATAATGAAATGACCAGCAGTAGTGTCTGCTAACAAATTCGCAGACATTTTGTTCATGACATTGAGTCACCTGTCAGCTGGTAGTCGTGCCGACCACATAACCTTCCGTAACATTCCCAACCCTGACCTTGCGTAACAGTTCATACAAGAAAATCAGTACTAATGCTCTATCTCCTTGCCTGCCCAGTCGACGGCACAGGATAAAGTTCCCTCTGAAGCTGACATCACAGAGAAAAGAATCTTATGAAAGGGACTCTTTCACTCGAACATTCTGCCAGAAATACTTCACAGTGTGACTTGCAGGAAGTGTGTCTGATGAAACGGTTATGAAATTTTTAGAAGTAACGAGGTTTTAGCATCTCTTTCCAGCTAAGGTCTTGGGCAGAAAAACCAGCTGCTTCTTCAGTATCATTTAAAAAGATTTTGTACCTTAAAAGAGAACATGGCTTCTATTCCAACGATGAGAAAAAGTCTGATAATCCTCAGTGAACTGAACCCCAAAAGGGACAAGCCCCTCCAAGGGGAGAGGGGTGCATGATCTGTTTCATCTTTAGCAGAACACAAGAGGAAGAAGCAACCACCATATAGACAGGTAACAAGAAATCAGTTAAAAAATTTATAGTTTTTTTGAGAGAAGGTCTTGGTCTGTGGCCTGGGCTAGCGTGCAAGTGTGTGACTCACTATAACTTTAAACTCCTCAGCCCATGCAATCCTCCCACCTCAGCCTCCTGAGTAAAATGTTCACAAGTTTTTAAAGGTGAAGTAGAAACAACCACATCAGTTTGGAATAACCATAAGGCCAAGATACAAAAGGAGAGTGTAAACTCACACAAAAGCTCTCTTCCATGGACCTCCACCAAATGCTCAGAAGGAAAATTGGGGGCAGGACACCAAAGAGCCCGTCTGTGTGGTACAGTCCAGGGAGACTATCAGCTTCTGTTGGAGACATTCAAGGAAGCCTCTCCAACAGGTCCCAAGAAAAACCTATTACTTCTAGGGAGGGAACCAAAATTCACCTGTCTCATGCTTGGAAGCAGCCTGGGAACTACTTTGAGCCTGAAATCCTATAATACCAGAGAACACCTTCCCCTGGGAAGGGGCCTAACTCTCCTCCACTCAAACCAACCACAGATACAGGCAGAGTTTGGCGACCATGGGACAGAGGCTGGAACACTGGAAAAGCTTCACTCCAGAACTCAAGGATCCAGCGTCTGCCTTGGCTGGAGGCTGCTAAGACAAGAAAGAACCCTCCCCAGAGGAGGAAGAGCATTTTAAGAGATCTCATCTGTGCCGTAGCAATGGAGGAATTATTAAAAGCAGAGGGTGGATGAGAAATACTGAGAAAAAACTCAGGCCTCGCTCTACGCATAGGTAATAGCAGGGCTTAGTTACTGGGTTATTATTATTACTAGAAAAAGTTAAAGCCTGTGGAGCACGAAAGGTAATGACAGCAACCACAAAAGCCAAACCCAGCTCAGCTCCTCACTAGACTAAATCAACCTCACATACATTAACAGCTTGATAGAAAAAGAATTTTTTCCTCCGCCCTCCACCTCCCCACTATTTAAAAAACATTTCAATAGATTTAGGGGGTATGAGAT